CTGATTTAGTATATGAAACTGCAGTAAATTTTCTATAAGGTTTTGGATTTTTACAATTAAGAATAGAACAAGGACCTTTATTAGATTGAGTCATTTTCAATTAAAAAATAAAATAAGTAATTATTTCGTCGATCATGTAATGTGATGATTTCGAATGTCGATCAAAATCGAAAGTCCACTATGCTGATTTTTGTATATTCCACCATTGAAGAGGGTCAATGTTTAATTCTAATGGTGCTGTTAAATATCTATTTAACTCACTTAATGGTGAGGTTTGGCTATCATTTGTTGAACTATTAACAATATTGCTAGTAGTTGTATTAATAGTTGAGTTTTTTTGACAAAGATTGAAAAAATAATCACGTGCATTATTATTATTATTATTATTCAATGTATTCAAAGGCACCTCTTAATGTAAAGACAATTGCAAAATTAGATTTTTTACATCCTCCCTCTCTCCTTCTTTAAATGCTGATAATTTACAACAGGGATCCAATATTGAAGAAATTTGTGAGCTGGTATCTAAAAATGGCCAATATTCTTCTAATTTGTGATGAATGCTATTTGCAATCATAGGTTGAGTAAATTTGTCATTATTATAATGAGTTTCCAAGTCTTCTAAGATACTCAAGAAACAAAACCTAACATCACCATGTGTACAATATGAAGAAGCAGACAATAATTTTGTAGCATGCTCGATTGGTTCTAACATAATTGTTACATCCTTTAAAAAAAAAATAAATAAAATTAATAATCTTTTTTTTGTAAAAATAATAATGATAAATCAGATATCAATATTAATATGGTATGTTTCCCTGACAGGATGTTTCTCTGGAAACAAAACAACCAATAATATATGGCATTTATTAAAATGGCACACCAAGTGTTGTCAGGGAAACATTAGTTGGTGAAACGTTTTTTTTAAATAATAATTTATATACCTTAACATTTTGCAATTCTTCATTCATAGGATAATTTCTTCTAACATTTGCATTATCAACTTGAAGCATTTGTAATGCTGGTTGTAAATGTATAAATTTTTTTAGCATGTAGAATGTGGAATTCCAACGTGTGACAATATCAATTTCAGGAGACAAGTAATTAATTTCTTTTATAGTACACAACTCCTTCAAAGCATTATTAGCAGGTGTAGATGAACGAAGATATGACATTAAACTTCGCACTTTTATTACTGCATCATCAATTAGTTGCAATCCTTCTTGCACAGCTAGGTTTAAGACATGAGAAACACATCTGTAGTGTGAAAAACTATTATTATTATGATTTGTTCTAAGTTCCTGAGATAGAGGACGTCCACAAGCTACCATTGTGGCTGCATTGTCAGTAGTTAATGCAAGTGTTTTTTCACCAAGCTGAAATTCATTTAAGACTTTCAAAATTTCCTCAGTTATATTTATTGTTGTATGACGTTCTAACATTGGAATTATATCAAGTAAAAAACTATTTAATTTCCAATTGTCATCAACATAATGAATTGTAAGACTAAGAAAAGCTTTATTGTTACTTGCAGTCCACATGTCAGAAGTTAAAGAAACTTTACCAATAATTTGTTGAATTGAAATTTTTACTTTATTTTTTTGTTCCTCATATCTTGAAATTATAGTATCATGAATTGTTTGTCCGTTATGAAATCTATATCTTGAATCAAAAGTAGAAATCATAGTACGCCACTCTTCATTCTCTACCACATTTATTGATTGTAAATCACAAATTATCCACTTAATCACAGCCTCATCGCGATTTTTTTGATCAGTTTGTGTGTGGGGATCGTTACAATATTCATGTAAAGTTTTTTGTTTTTTAGGTGCAATGATTGAGTGTTTATCTAAATGTCTTTGCAATGTACTAACACTACTGGTTTTTGAAAATCCACTGTTACATCTTTTACACACATAATTACCAAATTGATTTGTATCAAAAAATGTCCAAACTGTGCTTGTTTGTTTATTATAAGATGAGAATGATGATGTTGATGATGTTGTTCTTGTTGATGATGTTATTGAATTAACAGATATATTAGACATTGAATCCTCAGCATCAATGATTTCGCTTGCATTTGAATGTTCTTCAACTTCAAAAAAATTATCATTCAACATTTCTAAATTTGTGGTGTTAATATTATACCATTAGAGTATAAAGATTTATGATTGTATATTTATGTAAGTGTATATATATTTTTATATGTATGAATGAATGTATGTACGAATGAATGTGTAAATGAATGAATGTATGTATAAAAAAAATATATTTCAAATGCTTAAATATTTATTCTTTCTATATACTAAAATATATTAATTATAATAAATTGTAAATTCAAGCACAAAAAAAAAAAATATTATCATCATCATATACAAAAATATATTAATTATAATAAATTGTAAAAAAAAAAATTATTTTTTTTTTTTTTTTTTGTGTAAAAAAAAATTTATTATTTATTATTATATATTATTATACAAGTTTAATTGTTACACATATTCACCAATTTGGAAAAAGACCGGTCTTTTTCAGTCCTAAAATTTGGGACGAGGACTGAGAAGACCAGTCCTTGAACGGTCTTTCTAGGACCGACCCAACCCTATTGTAGAATATGGTTGAAACCTGTTTATTTCAGTGCAGTTTGTTTGGTTCTATCATAAATATTGGAATGTTTCCCTTCAATGTGTCTTCTGAGAGTGGTGGTAGCTGATTTTTCACTAAACAATTGCCTACATGTTTTACATTGCACTTTGTTATTGGGTAATCTTGAAAAAAACAACCAAACAAATGAATGTTGATTATTATTATTATTATTATTATTGCAAAAATCATTATTATTATGAACATTGTTATCATAATTATGAATGTTGTTGTTATTATCATGCACTGCATCTGAAATTATTTCTGATGAAATATCTGATAAACTTAATAAACTATTGTTGGTGTTACTATCATCTATATCAACTATTGGTACAATACCATTATTGAACTCAACATCTGGTTCTTGAAGATAATTTTCATCAACACTGGAATTGTCACCCATCTTTAATTAACAAAATATTTGATGATAAAAAAAAATATTTCTATATAATAATGTTTTTTAATGAAAAAATTATTTCAATTTGTAAAAAAAATCAAGGATACTTTATGAAAAATATTCTAATCAAAGGAATGAATTGTGAATTATTTTATTCTAAGATTTTAAGTTATATCCAAAACTTTCTAATTATTGTTTAAACTTTTAATTATTATTATTAAACAACTCTGCTTTTTTTACTTGTCTATTATTAAAAATAATTTTTTTAACTTGTCTATTATTACTTATTTTTATTATTATGATTAAAAATAACTTTCCTTTTTGATTTTATTTTTTTTTGAACTTGTTTATTATAATAATTATTATTATGATGATTAAAAAACAACTTTTCATTTTCTTAATATTAACTAATTTTTATTTTTTATTTATTAAATTGTAGTACAAAAAATCATTTCAAAAAAAAATTTATCAGTCCCAGACCGGTCCAATCTTGAACCGGTCCAGTCCTGAGACTGCGGTCTATATTATCAAAAGACCAAAAAGACTGGTCTGTCCCATTAGGTAAAAAGATCGTGTCAGTCCAAGGACGGACCATTGGTTAACTGGTCCTTTGGACTGAGTTAACATCCCTATGTATATATATATATGATATGAGAAATATAATTATATACCAATTATATTTAATTATATTTGTTTGCCACAATTGCCTCTCTTAATGAATAATTGTATAGAAAATATATATATATATATAAAAATAATAATTTCTTTCAAAAAAAAATAATATATATATTTTTTAAATATAAAACTCAATTCAATAAATTATCATCTATATAATTATTTTTTTTTAAAAAAAAATGAGCTCAATCTTTATTTCTTTTGTTATATATCTAATGTAAGTTCAACTGAAAAAATTATTAATGGAACTGCTATAAAACAGACATAGAAAATGAAGAATTTAGTGATGTAATGGACTTGTAATAAATATATATGAAAAAGGCATAAGAATTTGTATGTATATATAAAAATAGAATTGAGATATTTTTCCTTATATTTTTAATAATAGTTGTATATATATGCAGTATAAATAAATGTATTACTTCTTTACCTGCTTATTAAGTCTATATATTAGTTTTTCTTTGAGGATTCTCTGTCATCTTTGAAATAATAAAAAAATAGTTATATATATATATATTATTTTATAATCCAGTTTTTTTTCTTTTTCTTTGAGAATTGTTCAAGCAAAACATGATCGTTTTACAAGTAGTTTTTAATCACTTGTATTATAACCAGCCTTTTCTATTTTAACAATTGAAATATGTTGTTGCACAGCATTAAAAAAGATCTGCATTCAATTTTGTCACCATGTGATAAACGAATGTCTATTATGCTTTTTTATATAGGGATAGTTCTATATATCACTTAAGATAACAAATAAAACTGTTAATTATGATCACCATTACAAATGACTAAATTTTGATCCCTGAAATTTTTGGTAATACCAATGTTCACTTTGTCTGGTTTTGTTGCAGCATGCCCCATATAAATTATTATTAAAATGTCAAGAAGTGACTGATTCAGATGAATTTGATGAAAGTTTTGATGAAGATGAATTGCCCTTTGAAATGGATGAATATTTTGTTGTTGTTGTTGTTGTTGTCATTTTGTCATTATTAATAGAAGGAATTGTTCTTTAAACTGGATAAATACTTTGTTATTATTGTTGTCATTAATAGTAGAAGAAGCTATCCTTTGAACTGGATAAATACTTTGCTGTTGTTGTTTGTCATTATTAATAGAAGAAGTTGTCCTTTTTGAACTGAATGAACACTTGGTTGTTGTTGCTGCTGCTGCTGCTGCTGTTGAAGTTGTTTGTTGTGTAACTATTTTTGATATTCTCATTTTCTTGTTTTCATTTTTAGAATTTTTTTAAAAAAATTGTTTCCAAATTTGGAAGTGGAAACAAAGAGAAACAACAAATTTGTTGTTCCTCTGTTCTATTTCCTGTTGCTTCTGATCATCCAATAAAAATTAGTTTTGATAATATAACAAACAAGAACAAACTAAAGATGGCTCTGCAACTGTCTGCAACCTCTGGTTGATCAGCTACTTCAATCACTATAAAACTAAATTTATTTTTATCAAAAAAAATTTTTTAATTAATAATTTTATTTAAAAACAATAAATCCCATTTTGCAGTTATGTGATTCCATTTTTGATACTAAATCATCACAATTATAGTTGCAGACAGTTTCAGGCAGTTTCAGGGGTTGCAGAGGTTGTAGAAAATGTTGCAAATTGAGCTTTAAAACCTGCAGTTGCAGAAAATGTGAAAAAAGTTACAGACACCAACTTTAAACAGAACAGGGATGATAATTTTATGCAATTTGTATAGTATCCAGAAAGATGAATTTGTAGGGTGGTTAACAGTCTGGTCCAAAGACATCAGTCTAACCAAAGGACTGGACTATTGGTCCAGTCCAAGACTGCAGTCCAGACTGTGTCCAGACTTAGGGTTTCTATTTGAATAAAAGTAAATGAAACAAATGAAACAAATGAAACAAATGACTTGAATAAAACAAATGATTTGAGTAAAATGAATAAAACAAATAATGAATAAAATGAATAATCAAGTACAGTAATTCAAATAATACAGATAAAACAAATAAAAAAGAAAATGAATAAATAAGTAATTTGAATAAAGCAAATGATTTAAATAAAATCAATGATTGAATAAAACAGATAAAACCAACAATAATTCAAATAAAACAAATATTTTGAAGAATTTGTATTATCTGGATTTCAGAAAGAATGGACATTCATATTGATAACTTGGAATTGAGTTGTGATAATAAAATAATATTTTTAACAAATAAAATTGAAATAAATGCTTTTATGATAAAAAATGCAATGCTCCAAATGGTCTTTTATACCTAAGTCCAGACCAATTCATTCATAGTCCATTTAGTCTGGACCAGACTATTAACATCTCTATGCATATGCATAATTGCTATGCAAGATGTTGATCATATAATAGTAAAATACAGTCAGGGATATTTCCATATCGGGATTGATTCCAGAATAGTCTGCTGATCAATTCATTATATGTTACAAACGAATTAACAAGATACTTCTTATTATATCTATGTTACATTTTCTAAAAATAAATCGGTTTATTAATAATTGAAAGAAATACTATTAAACTTGCTCTTTCATAATCTGTTAATAATCTGTAATAATCTGTTGATTTGTTCAAAGTACGTTTTTACTAAAATTAGAAATTTATGACTAGAATTTAATTTTTATTGGTTT